CTTCTTAGACCATTTTGAGTTTTGAAGCTTTACAATTCCTTAGAAGCATTTCTACTTGAAGTACAAGCCTATGGAAGTGATTAGGGCACCATTTCACTCCTAAATGGAGTTTACGGTCCTTGGACCATTTGCCTTTGGGTTTACGGTCGTAAAACCAAATGGTTTATGGTCTTTTGATGTTTTCAAGACCTAAGCTCATCAAGGAAGGGATCTATGCTAGTTTCTAAGGCTTGGAAGGGACTAGGGTACACCTTGGCACCCTTTTTAGGGTTTACGGTCCAAGGTGTTCTTGGACCGTAAACACCTTTGATCTTGGGTTTCTTGGTTGTTTTCTTGATGTTTAGAAGTGTAAAAAGGCTTAAAATACACTAGGGTAGGAGTACTTACTAGATAGAAGCTTGAAAAGGTGCTAAACGTCCAAGAACACTAGTGTGTGTTCTTGGTGTTCTTGGTGAAACTTGAAGATCTACACTTTTGGAATGATTTCATGGATGGAATCACGTTAGATCACTAGATTAAGCAATATATCAACTTATTAGGGCTAGAAACACTTACAAGTTGAAGATCAAGAAAGAAAATTCGGATGCTACTTGAGAGGATTTGAGTTTTTCTCTTGAAAAGTGAAAAAGTGATTTAAATAGCTAAGTGCCATATATATACTCTTGGGGTTTACGGCTGTAAACACCAAGTTTAGGCTGTAAACTCCAAACTATTGGAGCTTTGGGACTTTATTGTTGCATAACGCCCCCCGTGGGTATCCTCTCTCCTAATATCTCCTGAAGTACTAATCTTAATACACTCAAACTTATTCCAAAAAGCTTGAAAGTTTGCAGAAACTGTTCTGACTTCTATTGAAGTGAAGGGTTGTACAGAATAGAAATTTCGGGTTGTCACAGTTGGGATACATATCTTCCGTTAGCTGAATTTTCATATAACAACAGTTATCACACTAACATTGATTGAACTCCTTTTAAGATGCTCTACGGGAGGAAATGCAGGACCCTAATTTGTTGGGGTGAGGTCGGTCAACGAGTTATGGGGAGTACCGAGGTGATGCTCAAGACCACTAAGCTGCTTCAGCAGGTTTGAAGCAGGCTCCAAACAGCCCAAAGTAGGCAAAAGAGTTATGCCGACGGGTACCGATCAGACTTGGTGTTCCAGGTGGGAGATATGGTTCTCTTGAAGGTGTCACGCTGGAAAGGTGTCATTCGGTTCAGGAAGCGGGGAAAGTTGGGCCCCAGGTATATCGGTCCCTTTAGGGTTTTGGATCAGGTGGGTCAGGTAGCATATCGCCTCGATCTTTCAGCCAAGCTCGGTCAGATTCATAGCACGTTTCATGTCTCTCAGCTACGGGAGTGTTTAGTGGATGATTCTGTAACCTTTGGAGGATATTCAGGTGGATGATCATCTGAATTATATTGAGAGGCTGGTGACAATTCTAGATCGGAAGATGAAAACCTTGAGGAACAAGGTTGTGGAGCTGGTGAAGGTGCAGTGGTTGCACCATAAGGGGGTCAAAGTGCACTTGGGAGCCCGAGGAGGAGATAGGGGAAGACTACCAAGAGTTGTTCCGGGCAGCGGACTTCGAGGACGAAGACGGATCCAAGTGGGGGAGAATTGTAACACCCGATGGTTCCAAGGTATTATTTATTTATTTAATCATATGTTTAATTGTCAGAATCATGTAAGTTATGTTGGGCTTAGAAGATTGGGCGGCTATGTGGGGGCTTAGCTGAGGTCGTATGTTAGGCGTAAGCCTAGTGTACGCGGGGCGTAGAAGGATCACAAGGAAACACGGAGGCATGCACGTACACTCAACGTACAAGGTTGTATGCGCAGTGTATGTGGACAGACTTCAAACCCTAATTTCTAGGGTTCAATCCCTACATAATGTCATTAAGTCCCATGTGTTAGCCTCCTTATCATCCTTTATTGTCCAAAAACCCTAATATCAAACCCTTTATCATCTTGATGTGTTCTTGACCTTGTGAAGTGCATTTTTGGTAGTTTGGTGCCTTGAAAGGAAGAAAAAGGAGTTGGCGAAGGAGAGTTGTTTGAGTTTGAGCTTGAAGATCCGGGTTATCATCATCATTTGGCACTCATTTGAGATATAAAGCTCATAACTTGCTTTGTTAATGCTTATATCTCCTTTGTTTGAGTTTTTGAACCTTTTTGGTCTCGTAGATGAAATCTTGTGGATTATTGTCATTTTTGAAACTTAGAGTTGCTACTCTTGGTGTTCTTTTGGTCATAGAGTCATAAAGTTTCCATCTTTGAAGCTTTGAACCATCCATAGGATGTATGTACACATAGGGGTTTTTTTTTCGATGCGCAAACTAGTGTGTTTTAGTTATATGCACTGCTATTAAAAAAAGTTGAAACTTTGTAAGACGCGATGCACCCTATTTATGTGGTTTAAAATGAAATTTTCAAGTTGTTGGAAAATAACCGCAAAACCGCATCACTTGAAAAGTCGCACATCACAATTTTAAGATTACAAAAGCTGATGCATGCGGTTGGCAGTTAAGCTTTGGCCTAAAACTACACCATGCTCTCCTTTAGAGCATCGTCACAATACGACAATTTGAAAAAAAAAAAACATTTAGCAACCAAGAGATGTTTTCGGCAATAAGACCTGCGATATAGATATGAAAATTCTAATAGGAAATGATTTTTTGAATGTTATTTAGATTTGTTTCGTTTAAATCTAGAACTCATAAAGATTACAAATATAGTTGTAATTGATCTTTTCCGAAAGTTTTTATAGTATCTAATAATAGTTTTTCTAATAATTTAATGTTATGCAGTATTTAAATCATCTTGACATGATCTAAATATTTGTATTTAAATGTTTTTTTAATTCAAAATCTTTGTATACTCAAGTAGGGACAATTTTTTTCTATATTAAACTAAATTAGACCATCTTGAGTGTTGACATGAAAATACTTATTCATGTTGGGTGAATTTGAAATACATGGAAAGTAGGGGAGTGATCTGCAATTACTAAGAACTTGATACATCTTATATTTTGGGATTGTGTTTCTGAAATAGATGAAAGATTAGGGACTGAAATTAAATTGCATAAATATTGTATGCCATTTCAGTTAGGGGGAAAGTTAAAAGGGTTCAAATGCTAGGGTTTTGGAGAATCAAATTGCTCCGCTAAGCTTACCATCAATCGGGAGCCATAATCATCAATGGCGAATCGTACGGACCCATCTGCGAAAAGCATACATGGAACGAACCCCCAAAACCTCGTTGAGAAGATATTGAGATCCAAAATTTACCAAAACACCTATTGGAAGGAACAGTGTTTCGGTTTGACAGCTGAGACGCTTGTGGACAAGGCCATGGAGTTGGATCACCTCGGCGGCACCCACGGTGGAAACCGCAAACCGACGCCGTTCATCTGCCTCGTCATGAAGATGCTCCAGATCCAGCCTGATAAAGAAATCGTCGTCGAATTCATCAAAAACGAAGATTACAAGTCAGTCATTTTCATTCCTCTTTGCTTTTTAGTAGATTTTTTTTTTTTTAAATTATGAAATTGCTCGCATCTCTACACTTCCATTTTGTACTCCGTTTTCCTGAACATTATCGATTGTTGAGCAGATATGTACGAATCCTTGGAGCCTTTTACTTGCGACTTACAGGCACAGATATTGATGTCTACCGGTATCTAGAGCCATTGTACAATGATTACAGGAAACTGAGACGCAAATTAGGCGATGGAAGTAAGCCTTTTGTGCTAGAATTATGCCTTTCTGAACTTCGTTTTGCTAATTCTTGGTATACTAATGTGTCTTGCTATATATTCAGAATATTCCTTGACACATGTGGATGAGGTTATTGATGAACTCTTGACAAAAGATTATTCCTGTGATATTGCTCTTCCACGCATAAAGAAAAGGTACATCAATACACTACTGTTCATCTTTCCTTTTTCATTTCCTCTTCCAACATTATCCAGTTTAAATTGATCCGCATGCTCATGGATGTCATAAGAAAAAATTATGAAGTTAAGAGCGATTCTGATCATTAACAGGCTTACCATTGAAGCAATTGGCGCTTTAGAACCTAGAAAAAGTGCACTTGAAGATGATTTTGAGGAGGAAGAGGAAAAAGATGAGGATGATCAACCCATGGATACAGATGTTGGGGGTCACGAAAAGGTTTAAATCTATCTGCATAACAACTTCTATACATAATTTAATCAATTGTTATTATATCTTATGACTAATTTTTTGTGAATGTAGGATTATTATCGTGGACAAAGCCCAACAAAGGAAAGAGATCGAGATAGGAAACGTGACAGCCATAGACATAGGTATTACAGTATTACTATTACTTGCTCTTTGTTATCCATTCTACACTTTCCTTTAGCTAGTTTGTTTTTTGATCTTTGTAGTAATTTTATCATCATGAAAATTTTAATTGTGGAAGCTGTTTTCAATCTTCTGCCCTTGGGTGGACCCACATCACACTGGGTTATCAATTATCATTGTCTTGAGCTTTCATAGGCTGAAGGTGATGTAAACAGCTTCCTAAATCAAGAGATTATGATCCTGCCAGGTTTCTCTGTACTGACAGTGTACAGATGAGAAGTATGATGGATTGCACATTCTTGTTTATTTGTTTATTACAGCATTCTACATTGCAATTTGAAAAATCTACTTATATAGATTTTCATAAGTAAAATGTTATAATATATAGTATTTTGTTTTTTGGTTTCAGGGATCGAGATGTTGATAGAGAGTATGAGAGAGATTATGATTATGAGCGGGAGCGTGGAAGAGGTCGTGATAGGGACAGAGACAGAGACAGGGACAGGGATAGGGACTGTTATCGTGGGAGAGATGAAAGGGATTACGGGAGGGAAAGACGTGGCGGCAGGAGGAGGAGCCGCTCCCGGAGTAGAAGCCGGAGCAAGGACAGAAAGGAGCGGGGTCGGGATGACGGGGAGGAGAGGCGGAGGAGACATGGGCGGGATAGGGATAGAGACAGCAGTGGTAGCCCTAGAAGGATGCAAGATGATGAGAAACCAGCCAAGAAGAAGAAAGAGAAGGAGAAGGAGAAGAAAAAGGATGATGGAACGGATCATCCGGATCCTGAGATTGCAGAAGCTAATAGGATTCGGGCTTCACTTGGTTTGAAGCCTCTGAGGCCATGAAAAACAAAATGGACTATGACATAAAGAGCATTGTTTTGAGTTTTTATCGGACTTTGTTTTTAATGGAATACATGTATCATCAAGGCACACATACATTGTTGTTTTTAATGGAATATATGTTATCAAATTAACTTTGACGTTATTTCGAACAATAACAAACAAGAAGAAAGGAATACACTAATAAATAATGCTTAAACAGAAATCATATCAAATTAACGTAACAAAGACATTAACATTTTTACTTTCACAATCAAATCCTATCACACTACTATATATAATATAATTGTTCTTAATTAGTGAGTCCAACAGCCGAGAGCACAAAATATAAGAAAAACACACACACACATACAAGCTCCGTAAACCATCACAATGACAACAAAAAGAAAAACAGATCATCATCATATGCTCACACAACTGCCAATGGAGAATTGAGAAAGAATGTATTTTAATTAATTAGTATTTACTTTTAGGTTTTAGTTTTACTTATATTGTGATTGTGTGTAGGCTGCTTGCCCTTTTCCCTTCCATTGCATCTTTCTTTCTCCTACACTTTGAACATAACATGAGTGGTCCAGATCCACTTTGCTCCTCCTGTTCTGCTTGACAAACCGCACATCTAAACATTCCTGTGCTTGAATCTAATGGCAGATCCTTTCCCAACCTGCAACAACAAATATCAAATATGAGTTTTAAAGTCTCCAAATTTAACAAGGTTTCAAGAAAACAACTACTAAAGTACCTTTCTGCAAGCATTGCAGAACCCTCTTCAAACAGCTCCTCTACAGTCCCAACTGCTGAAAGCTTATTTGGAACTTTATTCATAGAGTTTTGAAATCTCTTTCCAGGAATTAATGAAGTAAGCAGATTTTGTTTCTTTCTAGGTGTTGGAGGCAACACTGGATACCCATATGGAATTATATCAACAACCAAGCAGGTTGTATCATCTTTTAGTCCCCTTGACCTAAGAGCCTCCTAAAACCAAATCATAAGATTAAAACTCTATACAATATGTATATATAAAAATATATGTATTTAACATCAATCCCCACCTTAACAACAAGCTTTGCAGCAAGTTCTGCAGGCAATCCACGACAAGATTGAGCTGCTGTATCAGATGATAAAGCATCCCAGATACCATCAGAAGCAATTATAAGTCTTCCACCAGAACTTGAGAGCTATATAAATAAATAAAAATGTGTCAACTTTAATCAAATTTTTAAGTTTTTAACATATATAATATACAAAGTCATGTGTCATGTGTCATACTTTCACTTGTTTAACATGAGGTATTGGGACAATAAACTCTCCAACATCTGTATCACCAATTGACCTTGAAAGGCACAACCCACCAGGCCAACATCGAAGTGGGCCAACCTATAACATAACAGATTCACAAGAACAAATGATTTATGTTTTTTTTTTTTTTTTTTTTTTTTTTTTTTTTTTTTTTTAATTTAAAAGTATAAAGCTTGAATTTGATTTTTATTTGTACCTCGTTTCCTCCGAAAATATTGAGGCGTCCTACTTCACCCCCACTTGCTGTTACACGCTCTCTTTCTTCAACATTCTCTTCAAGCCTATGATCGACTGTTAGTAGTGAAACAACACCAGCTTGTGTATCCAATATGCATCTTGAATCCCCAACTGAAGCGACAGTTATAGTCCACCCATCTATTACAACAAATGTAACAGTTGTACCAGATGTCTCGCCTATTGTTTCATCAAAGAAGGTTGATTGAGGATACAAGAAGAGGAAAGATAAATGAATGATGGGGATGATATGGAAATCCATTACCTTTCTGTTGAAACTCTATGTCAGTTTTCACAAATCCTGCAACCAATGCCCTAGGAAGTGCTTGAAGCCACTCTTCACGACCACATCCTTGAGGAATCGCACTTAAAATGTTGTTCAACAGATTTTCCTTTGCAAAAATAGCAGCGGATATACCATTATGCCCATCGAATATCTACCAAAGAAACAAATTTCAATAATAATGTTAGTAGCGAAACCATAAGGGTTTGTGTGAAGAATGGTGAAATGGATTCTATATATACCGCAAAAACTGAGAAAGATGTTGATGGATTGCCGGGAATTCTCTGACAATCAAGTTTGATTAAGAAATAATCCTCCCCTTTCTTTGCTAATGCCGCCTGTCCATAATTAACTGTAGGTTTCTCCACATTCCCATGCCTAAGTTCACGACCAATCAGAGTTCCAAGTGGTACAAGAGGCGGCTTTGTTTTCATCGTCATAGTCTCCTTTTCGCTCATTTTACACTACGGATTCTCATAATGATTTGTTGGAAGACAACCTGTTTCAATTTCAAAAGCACATCAGAATCGAGAAATCACGCACAAACTCCATTAGCTGATCTGAGAATTTTGTTCATCTAAAGTAAACAACGCTGAACTTCATATAATCTAAAATTTTAGATAACTGGTTCAAAAAACTAGTCCCAAATTGTAATGTAGATATTCACTGTACACGATTTCAAATTACCATCTTCGGAAGGTAAAACCAAAGATGATACAAGTAAACGACTTGAGATAAACATTAGTTTATAAAAAACATCGAGCCTGCAAAATGCAGATACAGACAAATGAAAACATGTGGTCTCGTAAAGAAATTAAAAACAGAAGCGTTGATAACTTACAGCAAAGACATTGAAGAACGTGCAGCCAGATCTAGAAGAAACTCAAACAATATTGAGGAAATTGCAATCCAGATTTCATGAACTAAGTAGGAAATCAAATTCTGAAAACCCTAAGAGAAAGAGAGAGAGAGAAACACATAGATTTGTTTCAGAAGATTATGGTTGTGGGTTTATGAGAGAGAAACGCGGGGATGAAAAAGCGGGTTTGGGGAAAATGTCTATCTGATATTGACATTCCCAATTTGTCCCTGTGTAATCCACAAAACACAGCTTTCTTTTCTTAATCACCAAAATGCCCTTTGCCCTTGCTTATCCTTTATCGGTTTTTTTAAAATCTCCTCTTCAATTTTGATATAATATTTTTAATATATATATATATATATATATATATATATATATATATATATATATATATATATATATATATATTATATCAAAATTAACGTCACTAATTATATACATATATTTTTCAATATTGAGGAGGTGATTTTAAAAGAACCGATAAAGGATATATATATATATATATATATACTAGCCGTCTACCCGCGCAAAGCGGCGGGGCACATGAGTTCTTTCGGTGATATGTTTCCATTACAAAATTGTTATGTTAAAAAAAAGTACATGTTGAAGACAATATAATCAAACTATGGTGTTATTTGTTACATCATGCATCAAATAACCAATAAAAAGCAACCAGTCAAGACGACACAAAATATTAATCGTGCAATACTTCTTTATACACCACATTTGCTGTATAAACCCCATCACCTTTTGAATTTTCGTTAGGCTTTACTAATACTTTTGTATTGCAACGTGAAACCCCTCTGGACAATGCAACATAAAGTTGTCCATGCGAGAATACTGGTTCTGGAAGATAGATACCTACATATGGAATTGTTTGTCCCTGAGCTTTATTGATTGTCATTGCAAAGCACAATCGAATAGGAAACTGTTTCCTCATTAGAGGATCGATGGTTGCTACTAATTGCTTGTAACTGGTATTGGTTTCATATCGATGGATGTGGATTCGCATATGAAATCAATTGTGTTCGCATCTATGAAATCAGTTCGCATATGACATCAATTGAGTTCGCATTTGGTTTTGTGGGTCAAAACAGTTCGCATAAGAAGTTCACGATTTGTTTGAGGTTAATTGATTTTGATTTCGCAAGCTTGGAGTCGGAGATCTGGATTGTGTTCGCATCTATAGAATGCGAGGAGAATTTAATGGTGATATTCAGTTCGCATTTGGTGACACAAGTACGTGGTTGATGATTTTTGGTTGGTTCGCATTTGAAATCAGTGGGTTTCGCATTTGGGTTCGTATCTGGGTTTCTCAAACAACTGAAATGCGAATATGAGACAACTGATTAATTTCTCAGTTAATGCGATGAAATGCGAATGAACTCAAAGACGGATGGATGCAAGATGCGAAGAATTTGAATGAAAATGCGAAGTTTTTAATGTATAAATGCGAATGAACTCAAAGACGGAAGAAAGTTTTTAATCTTAAATGAAATCATAGTTTCCTAATAAATTAATTAACAAAATACTTAACCCGAAAACAAAATCGAAAACCAAAATATAACCACATAACGTGAACCCACCAAACCAATTACGAATGTCAAAGAAAGACACATGAGAATTAACAAAAAAAAAAAAAAACTTTCATTCACAAATGGTATAATGCATAAATAAAGCTTATTTTTTTCATTTACATACAAAATATTAAGAACAAAACACTCCCATGTTCTTGTACATGATACATACAAAACAAAGAAGAAACTATTATTCATATGGTACCTTCAAATATAAGAATGATACAATAGTCAAATATGTATATGATAAAATTTGAAACAAATCAATCCAAATTCACAAAATTTTGTCAGTTAAATTTTTTTTGTTGTCTGACAATAAATGAAACCAAAAACTTATGCATTGCAATTTTCAAAAACAAAACTTACAAATGGGTTTACCCCAAACAATAACAAAAACTTACATATTGCAACTTTAAAGAAAAAACTAAACATTCAACTACAAGAGCTCTAAAAACCCAACAAGAAGATCATATTCAAATCTTAAGAAGCTTACCCACGATTTCTTTGAGATGTTGGTTTAAACACAAAGTTAGACATACGCATAGATACAGGACGATGGTCAGCAGCACCGGAATTTTAGAAGGATGCATAGAGGAAACTAATATGTGGAAGCTATGAGGTAGCTTTTTGATAGAGAGACAGAAAGGGGAAGTGCAAAGAACGATAACAAAGGTGGTGGGTTTAGCAAGCATTGTTATTTTTCTTGAAAACAAACATTAATTAAATGGATAAGGATTCAACAACTACAGTAAAATGATAGAGTAATAAGATATTTCCTTCATTAACTGGAGTCCATATCAGTACAGATAGTTGAAGATATACCTGAATTGATACAGATAGTTGAGAAATGTCAAAAGGACACAAATACCCTTAGTACCACTTAAACAAGAAAGCTTTACTCTAGATACACTTATACAAGAATATTTAATATACAAATGATTACCCAAAATGTAGACAAACATCAGAACCTGAAATGGAGAGGAAACACCGGAAATTGAGAGTAAACATTGACGATTATGTGATAAATGACTGAAAAGAACACTTTAAAATTGCTAACAAAAACCTGTATTGTTAGAGAACGTTTGTAAATTAATAGTGTTTGCCTCCTGGTTCTGCAATAGAGAGAGAGAGAGAGAGAGAGATGGTTGGAGACCTATGACCACAAAAAGAGAAATTCTCAAATTCACAAAATTTTGTCAGTTAAAGAGCACTAACCTTGAAATCGTGTTGGATCCTGGTCCACTGTGACACTTGTGAAAATGGTTGTCTGAGGTTTCTAGAGAGTCGAGTGCGACCAGCTGTGAGTAGTAGATGGTTAGGTCTCCAGGTATGTGTGTAAAATGCGTAACACTTACGACCTCACAGATAAGAAATTTTTTGCAGTCAATTGGTCATATAAGGGGATGGGGCAGAGATATGAAGAAAAAGATTCGTTCTAGACTTGACCGGTGCAATCGATCAAAATCAAATAATTAGAGAATAGAACAGTAGCATATGCTAGATGTCGAGAGATGGGGGTTGTGAACGGTGGTAAGATGAAGTGCGATGATGATGAAGGTGGCCTGTTTGATGGTAGTGAAGGTTATGTGACAACAAAGTTTACTGATGGTGTTGTGATGTTCGATATTCGGGTTTCTAAAGGAGATATGCAAGAGAAGAGAAAGGCAGAGGTGTTTAGCAGCGACTGTAATGGTCTCAGTGGTCAAGGTGTGGTGGGTAACTGCGTCGAATATGGGAGGAATTTTAGAGTATTTAATAGAGAGGGAGAGAGTTCAAGGAGAGAAGAGATGGCGACTCATCTAGGGTTATTCTACAAGGAAGGGCTATAGATACTAAGATAAGAGATGATATATAAAGTTTATCTATAGACCGATTCAATTGGCAAAATCTGAGGAAGACGGGTTCTTCTTTGACCAGTTCAATTTGAAGAAGAAAGCCAAAGCCTATTCAATATGTACGTAATTCATGTTAACCGCGTAAGATTTGGTATTTTTCTATGCATAAACTCATTGTAAATAGCGTAATAAGGGTTATACCTCTTAAAATTTAATATTATTTTATTAATGATTACTTGTACTAACAGCTTAATGGTTTGGACGTCTTAAAAAATATTATTATTATATTGAATCTATTTATGGAAATAGTTGGATTTCTATTATAAAGTAGTATAGATATATATATATATATATATATATATATATATATATATATATATATATATATATATATATATATATATATTGAGGAGGTGATTTTAAAACAACCGATAAAGGATATATACATAGGGTTAAGTTTATTTGAGACCACCTATATTTTGTGAGACTGTGAGATGCATTTTTTTATTTTTTATTTTTTTTAGTTAATTCAAGTTCCGAAAATAATATTTAAAAAAAAAAAATTTCTGATTTTTCCATTTATTTTGCATTTTAAAATTATTTTTAGAATATGTACAGTGTAATATTCTATTTAGAATATTTCATGTATTTTTCGAAAAAAAAGGATTTTTTTTTTATTTTTTTAGTTAATTCAAGTTCCGAAAATAATATTTAAAAAAAGAATTTTTAGATTTTTCCATTTATTTTGCATTTTAAAATTATTTTTTAGAATATGTCAGTGTAATATTCTATTTAGAATATTTCACGTATTTTTCAAAAAAAAACGGAATTTTTTTTATTATTTTTTTATTTTTTTAGTTAATTCAAGTTCCGAAAATAATATTAAATTTTTTTTTTTGGATTTTTCCATTTATTTTGCATTTTAAAATTATTTTTAGATTTTGTCTCACGGTCTTACAAAATTAGAATGGTCTCAAATGAACCTGAACATATATATATATATATATATATATATATATATATATATATATATATATATATATATATATATATATTAAACAATAATATTTATTGATATCAATCAACCTTCCTTATTAATCGAATTAAATATAATTATCTATTTAGTATTATTTTTAACAATTATTTTGATTGATTAATTTAAATTTTTACTGATAAAATTATTTTTCTAATTTCATTAATGATGTTCATTTAAAATACAATTTATTTGTAGCTAATGTTATGTAATTTATAATTTGATGTTATTATCATTTAAAATTATTGTTCATTAATTTTAAACCACTTATTATTAATAATAAGTTAAAGAAGACTTTTAAGAAATACTTAATATTATTATTCAAATATGAAACATATACTAAATAATAAAGTGATAAGATTGAAAAATTGCATTTTAAAAGAGACCTGCATGGATAATATGACATATCCATGATTTTTAATTAATTATTGCTTTGAAGCAACACAAACATACAAATATATATATATATATATATATATATATATATATATATATATATATATATATACTTAAATATTATCTATATCACATTTCATAACATATGATCGATAACATGAATCTAATCTAATTTACATTAAAATTTAAACCACAACATACAATGATTGTTTTTACAGAATACTTAAACCAAGAAAAATAAAGTAAAATAAAAAGAATTAGTATATAACAAACTTACAAATTAAAAACCTTAACATAGCAACATGGCTCAAAAAAATGGTTCAAAGCCCTCAAACGAACACAAAAACCTTTAGACTTGTTTTCTTTGTGAATTTTGTATGTGATTGGCATTTGTGTGTCTACTCAAAGAGATTGGCATTT